AGGTCCAGCAGAACTGGCTGAAACATGCTGGCTTTTCCACATCCCAGCAACAGATGTTTGTAAATAGGCACGCCTTCACATGTAGAAGGGAACTGAGCGTCTAGAGACTGCTGTGTGTGGAGGCTTGTTCTTTCTTTTCTGTGGAGCTGTTGTTGAGTATTTCAGCATTAAATGGGAAAAAAAATAATCATTACATTCACTAGCATTTCATTCAGAATTATTTCCAACTTGCAGTGAAGTAGGAACACATGGTGACTGGATGTTAAACGTTCATTGATGGATGAAGACGTCTGAGGTTCTAACTGGAAATGGGATTGCTTGGAGTGGATGTGGGACAAGGGAAGAAAAACAAATTTTGCTGAACCTGATCTTCAGCAAAAGTCAGGCAGTGGGAGATGGCTTTTACTAGAAAGAAAGAACACCGAAATGTGTGATGTTCCTATACTTCCCCAAGAAAAATAAAAGAAGTATTATCTCTATTTCAGCTCATCTTTAAAATACACCCAGGAAAGGCAGTGAAGATAAAGAGAGTGTTTTTGCTGATTGTACTTTCTATGTTCTCTCATTAATAGTCTTTTTCTTGAGAGTGGAGGTTTACCATGTTTGATTCAGAAATCCAGTCTGCGTAGTTTTAGAGTAACTTTGTTAATGCTCTTTTGATAACTTCTGTTCATCATCCTAAGGCTTATTGGCCATGACTGTGTTGTGAGCTGAGTAAATTGGTTGTTAGTGCATTTGCAAACGGTTCGGCCTGATTGCATTGATCTAAGCACCAATTTTACAACTTTGTCTGTGGTGCCATTAGAGAAATTTGAGTGAGCAAGCAGGCAGGCACCCTGCACATACCTCTCTCTTAGCACGGTGATTTACTGCCTCTATCTGCTGCCTTTTACAGCTGTGTGCTGGCTAATGTCCCTGCCTGGCTGGTTAGCTTGTTTCAATCCTGGGATGCTACATCCTTAGCGTGGAATCTGAATCTGACTTTGCCACCAGACTGAAAACGGACTGCGGCTTTTCTAAAGTTCTTTTCCCATCTTCCGTGTGTTTACCTTGTGCTTAGGAAAACAAACTGGTAGGGGTCATAGTAGATGGACATAGATTCTTTCCTTTTGACCTACTTCTTTTTGACTAGTCTATATTCTTCAGCCAGTCTCCAAAGCTTCTCTTGTGTTTTGTTTTGACTTGGCCTGATGGCTGAAAGCTTTACTGTAAATTATTATTTTTGACAGTTATGATAGTGATATTCCACCCTCCCATAGTATCCTCTGACCTGCAGGTATCAGAACGCACAAAGATATGCCTAAAATGTCACAAAAGATTGCAAATCACATACAGTTACAAAGTAGTTCAGATAAACAATGTAAGCAGAGTACAGTACCTCAAGGAGAAATGACAAGCACCACTGATTACAGCATTTACAGGGATAAATAGTTTCTGAGTTAGGTTCAATACATAATTTCTGATTATGGAGTCAGTGCATGAAAACATATGAAGTAACAACTTGCAATTTTTCTGTAAGCTACCAAGATGCATATATACATGGAGTCAACTAATAAATCCACAAAATATTGGCTACTGGGATGGAAAGGTGTGAAGTGAATGAGGAAGGTGGGAGGACAGCTACAAGAGTTAAGCATCTAAACAAGGATACTCTGAAAAGCCTCTGGTTATGGTGGGTCCAGTGGAGGCAGTTGACTCTTTTTTGCTTCAGAACAAAAGGAAAAAGGGGCCATGTGGCATCCTGGTTGATACCAGCTTATGCTCCTTGGTGTGTGAGACACAATGGTTTCAGAGCTCTATCATTATCCTCTTCATTTTCTCACTAGTTCATACGTGAGCAGTATAAAAGTATCATCTTTTACCTTGGCTGAAGGCTCACATGTTAATGTTTTTTTCAGGTGGAACTTGCAGAAATTTGCACAAAGAGCGAACGTTATATTGGCACAGAAGGTGGAGGAATGGACCAGTCGATCTCTTTCCTGGCAGAAGAAGGAACTGTATGTGTATCTTTGTAATCTAAACTAACAGCATAATACTAATTTATGTAAATAAAAATATCTTTATATGTATCTAGGAGAAAGACAAGAAACTGGAATACCTTAGTAAGCAGTATAAGCACCATTAGTATGCAAATGAAACGAATTATACATATAAACTTATGTGCAATCGAGTATGACAAGTTTGAAGGAATAAAACGACAAAAATGAGAAAAAATAGCAAGAGGGAGGAAAGAAAAGATGTGGGGAAAGATGTACTCTAGAAGAGCGCCAGGTTCCACACTATTTGGCTACTTCATGGCTGAACTCAGAATGTTTCCCATATAATGAAATCTGAATGGTCGGTATGCCTTGTATTCAGTGCAAATGGGATAATTGCTACAAAAATGCTTTCTTGAAACTTCTTATAACCAAACAGTTCTAGGAAGTTTTGCCAGGTCCAGTTACAAAGACAATGGAGATTTTTTTCCCGGTTTTGCTAATTCCAGACAATTCTGTGGCTGGATTCTGATGTAGAAGGCATTTAGCTGTCTTAAACGTGGTGACAGAAGGTGAACTAGCAATGATAAACAGGACCTGCCAAGGTATGCATGAGTGCTTGCAGTGGAATTTACAGTGGAGTTCATCCACTGTCCCAGAAGGTGCACAGGACTGCAATGGTTCAAACCTAAATCCTGTCAAAATACTTTTGTTGAAATTAATGTAGCGTTTCATGCCAACCTTTACTTCCCTTTCAGTTGTGATATTCTATCTCTACAGCTTTTGCTCCTTAATATCATACCTTGGATGAGCTTATATAGAAAATAAGCTATTTCCTAGAATTACACCAAATGTTTAACTCCATCATGAGACACGTGTATTTTCAATATCACATCACCTGTACCTATTCTACACCTTTCCTTCACACTCTATACTGTTAGTAGTAAACACACAGCTACATAAATGCTGAAGGAAGCAGTATATTTTCCAGGCATACACACAGATCATCCTATAAGTGGAGGCTTTTCTGATATATGGAGGTGGTGATTGAAAAGGCAGAGAAAATGTTAGAAAAGATTCAAAAAGAAATTGTGAATAAACCAGAAAATATCCTTGCTTCAGTACACTCGCACCTGAATGCAGTTCTGGCCTCCCATCTCACAAAAAATATGCTAGAATGAGAAAAGTACAGTGAAAGACACTGAGGTAGATCAAAGCTATTTTTTTATATGAGCATTGACTGAATAATTTTAAACTTTTCAGCTTGGAAAACAAGTATCTTTGAGGGTGATACTTTGAAGCTCTGTAACACCCCTGAATGGGTAAGAGAAGGTAAATTGAGAATTCGATGTTTCTCGTAACTGAAGAACTAATAGAAACACAATGACATTAGCAAGCAGCTTGTTAAAAACAAACAAGGAAGTTTGGGTTTGGTTTTTTTTTTCCAAAACATTCAGTGTTAAATTGAGAAATACCATACATTGTGGAAGGCAAAGGTTTAAAAATGGTTCAATAAAAGACCTGCTTGGATACACTGGTGGAATATTAGCCTCTTTGTCGCTATTAAACATAATAGTCTGAAGTTTCTTCCAGTGTAAGTATAACCACTGTAATCTTTGCTTATGGGAGGCTGGAAAAATATGCCTGAAAAAAAGATTGCTTTGTATATCTCCTATTTTTATATTCCTCCTAAGTATCCATTTATGGCTCCTGTCAGAAACAGGACACTGGACCTGCCTAAAGGTACATTCTGATCTAATGTAGCCATTCTTAAAGGGTATATTTAAATGTAAGCAAGCTTGTCTGTCTTGATAGTAATTTTGTGACGTGGTCCAGAATCTCAATGGCAGGGAGTAACACACATGCTGTACACAATGTACAAGCAGATTTGTCATTGTTTATTTAGCACTCTAGCTGCTAAAGGAACTCTCTGGGGGTGAACAAAGCCAAAACCAGTAAGATGTCCCTGCTTGCAGAGTTAGAAAGAAGCCAAAGCAGGGCACGTGATTTACAACTTATACCAATGAAAAACCAGATGTAGATTTAATCTCTTGATTACATTACATCGTGAATTATTTAATTAATGGATGTCTAGCTTATTCCATGGAAAGGTCACAAATGTTGGGAACATCTTACACAGCCTGTGTGAGGCATCTGTGGGGCATGGCAGTCTCTTATGTCAGAAGGAAGGCAACAGTAACTACATTTTTATGTATAGTTTTATTTCATTTTTCTGTTTGATTGTCTGTATATAACATGATCACTCTCTCCGGTCAGTCCTAAAATTTTGGTACTGTTCTGTACCTCAGTGAACTAATCTCGATTTAGTGAAAAATCAGAAAACTAAGGGGGAGATGAACATTGGTGAAGGGGAAGGGAATGTGAAGCCCCTGGTTTCTAGTGGCACGCACATTAGCTTCGGCCAGGCCTGCTACTTCTCTGTAGATCAAAGAAAAACTGTTGTCTTAAACAGGAAAGAAAAATAGGTTGGGTGGAGTTCTGTGAAATGCTGAAAAAGCCCAAAGACTTAATGGAAACATTTTAAAATCCAGCTACAAGGGAAAGGTTTGAAATGTATGTCTAACTTGGCCAGTGAGGTTAAATCTCTATTCTCGCTGTTTCATGTCAGTTTTCTTTCCTTAACTGTCCCTGGATTTTCAAGAGAAAAAACATGCAAATTTGCATTTGATTTATAGAACTAAGTGCCTGTTAGCTAGTAGTAAATTAAAACTAACCATTCATTTTTCTTTCAATAGGCCAAGTTGATAGAGTTCAGTCCTCTAAGGGCAACTGATGTTAGACTTCCAAGTGGAGCAGCGTTTGTTATTGCTAACAGTTGTGTTGAAATGAATAAAGCAGCAACTTCTCATTACAATATTAGGGTAATGGAGTGTCATCTGGCTACAAAGGTAACGTATGGCTTATGTCAAACTCTAATGAAACCTTCATCTAAATATGTGCTTTTTTCCACTTCTGACTAATCGTGTCTTTAACACCTGGCTAGGTGCTACTTTAAGTAGCATTTTTCTTTCCAGAACCAGACACCTCCATCTCTGCAGAAACAGCACTCCTGCAGAGTTCAATGGAAGTGCAAGGACCATGCCCTTGTATTGAAGATTATGTGATTTAGTTCTATTTAATTTATTTTGTATTACATTTCAGTGGAGGAAATAAGTCTCTGTTTCAGCAAAAAATATTTTCAGTTAATAAGATAGACTGTTTCTAATTAAAGCTGAATAATGACAAATAATGGAAAGCAACCAGTGTGGTCACATGTTTATATGTATATATGGCAATAGATGTGTATTTTTGAGGATTTAGAGGACATCAAAGCTACTAGTTGGAGGCCTGGAAGTAATATTGGAAATGCTGAATAGCAGCAGCATGTATGTCAGTGTGAAGTTTAAAAACAGGCTTGAATCAAAACCCAGTTGTGCTGCCAGTTTACAGCTTGCAATTATATCTAAAATGTATGGAATTTGAACATGAAAAAAATCTAATTTCCACTTAATTCTGGATTTTGTAGACCATAGATTTAGGAATATGTAGATGTAGGGGTCGATTTGAGTTTGTTTAGGAATACAGCGGATTTTCCTGTGATTAGATTAAGTGAGGAGTAAGCATAAAGATTCACTGCAGTTATACCCAACATAGTGTGCTGTGTGAAAGAACAGAATCTGAGTCACAAAGTCTAGATGAAATTTTTAAGAACTACAGGGTGGAACTCCTTGCCACAAAACATTTGGCCAAAATCTGAGCAATACTCAAAAGTACTTTAAGCATCTGTTGGCATCATCATTCTATGAAAACTTACATAGTTAATGCTAAGAGCTGAAGAGGTGATCAGATACTGACAAAATGTAATATAAAATCCTGTGTTTAAATATTTTTTGAGGAAGGAAACTACTTCAGTTGACTCTTTAAATGGGCTTTAACTCAAGTATAAAGAACATAGCTGCATTTTAGGTGTATAAAAGATAGGGTAAAAAGTAAGACCACCAATGACCATAATTAAAGCTGTTGTCACTGAAGTTAATAAAGGGATTCTTACACCATTAAGAAAATCAAGATAAGGACCTCTCTGTGTGACCTCTCTGTGGTCCTGGTATAATTGATGAATGTCTAATTCAGGATAGTTAATTGGCTAAGTATGTATTTTAGGAAGAGCTGCTTTTGGAAATTATTTTGTGTAAGAAACAGAGAGCCTTCACAGATGATCTATTCTAAAAGGCAAACTATGACAACTGCATTAAGTTCTAAGCCCTTTTGAAGTATTGTTCCATATACCAGATTTTGTGAATTGAATCACAGTTTTCTAAATTGCTTTAAATTGTTGGTCCTGTGAAGGAAACTGAAAAGGTGGTAAGGAAAAAAATTTTTTTTTCTACATTCCTGTTAGCTATGATGCAATCTCTAAAAAGGTGCCTTTAGCAGATGTGTGATTTTAAGGAGACTAACAACATACACCTGTCTATTTTTAAACATATGCTACCCAGATGGAAAGTTGCACACACTATAAAAATATGTTGAGCCAGGAAAAGACTGTCTTTAGGAACAGGTCACAGTGGGGTGAGGGAGGGCAGGTATGTAAGTGGAAGCAGGGAAGTCTTTTAAGCACCATTAAGCTAATGGAACTATGAAATAACATGCTGGGCCTCACAATGATGCTTTAAAGGAAATTCTCATTGGTAAGTTCCTTAGGATAGGCCGCTTTTTTTTTTCCTTTTCTGCTTTAGGTCATCCTAGAATTTCATACTGTTTGCAGAGAGCTCCATGTAAGTAAAGATGCCAACACAACAGATCCCTGCTGGCGTTAGTGTAGAACATTTTGATGTCAGTTTGTCCTACAGCAAGTGAACCCTTGATCATCCTTACAAAATTATCTTTCTCAGGTTCTGTTTCTTCCCCTTCCCTTCTGGGCAGTCATTCTTTTACTGTTGTTTTTTTTTTTTCTTTCTCTGTTCTTGTAGTGTCTGAGTGCTTTCCTGTACTCCATTAAACAGTATGTTTAAAGACACTTATGTTCTGCAGAACACTCGCAATTCTGAAGGAAATTAACTTGTACTTTATACTTCAGAAAACTCACACGGTAGGTGCCACAGGATGAATACGAGCATTAGTGAGTGCTGTGCTCTCCCCAGCTTCACCGTGTGTGGTTCACTTCACTGTCAGCTATAGAGTAGTGCCAAGAATGTCTGCAACTGGAATGCCACAGAGTTAATCAACTAATACTTGTTAAATGTGGAAAGATGCTCAGATGACACTATAGAAATGTAAAGCATAAGAAAGTGATGTTGCTATATAAGGACTAAGTATTCCTTTACTTACTGCTAGTCAGACTTTCTTTTATTTGTATTTGTCCCATCATTTGCTGAGTATATTTTCCTCCCAGTTCCTTACAGTTCTCCAGTGTGCCTGTGTTGAACAATAAGGGACAACAAAGCCTACGGATGCTATATGCTGGCAGTTAAGAGCCAGCTGGATGATGTCCACATCTTTAATCCATCTAGTCAGAGATCATCAAGAAAGTATCCAACTGTGGGATCAGTGTTGGGATTACTTTTGTACATTAAATAGATGGGACTTTTTTTCCCATTTCTGTTCTGTGTCCATTACAATTTGAGCTGCTGCAGCTAGATTATTTTCAAAAACCATTTCTGTTTGCCCATAACATTTTTCTCAGTGCTGTTAGAATTGAAATTTTGCTATAAGCAGTATAGATGTTTCCAACAAAGCCCTGGCCCACTGGTCTGATGGGGTCAGTTTCCATTTAGAACATTCACCCCGTAAAACACCAGCATAGTTAGCTCATCTAAAATTCAGCATCTCTCTTGAAGTATAGAAATGGGAACAGATATGACAATACAGATGATATATTTCTACAGGGGATTATTTATTAACAGAGAAGGTAAAAAAGTTCTGTTGCTTTATGGAACACTATTTTTTGTAAATTCTTAGTTCTGTTTAAATTCTGGTAATAAAGTCTAGGGGATGCTGAACATTAGGATTAAAGTATGAGGAAAAAACTTCCATTCATTTAGCACCTTGAAGCAGAACACGCACCAACGTAAGAGATATTGAGTATTTAAGTAGAACAAATGAAGCAATAATTGTTATTCTGACTTCTCAATAAATTGAAATACAGTTCTGTAACAGCTGAGGAGTTCTAGGTACTCAGAGCCTTTGAAAAGCAGCCAGAAGTGACTTATTCAGTCTTTTACAAGAAGATTTTCTCACCCTGATTTCTGCATTAGCCACTAGACAGTGCTGCTTCTTTACCGCTGAACATACGAAACTGTGTTTTAGATAGCGAGAGTCACATGATTAGGATTTTGATTGGATTTTGTTTGTTCTGCTCTACTAAGCCTCACATAAATCTTAGCAAGTCACTAGATGGCACCAAAAGTAGTTAATTTTTATATACGGTAATAAAAGCACTGTTGGAAGAGAGCAGGAGGGTGAGAATCTATAGCAGGAAGTCAGGCAGCAGATTTTCTGCTTAAATGTCACGCTGTAACTTTGCACAAAGCAAAGACTTTTTAGACATGTATGTAAATCCCATTATTTTTTCTAACCCAGGAAGTTAAATGGCTTTGCTGAATTGAGACATAAATGATTTCAAACCAATCTCACCCAAAACCACTGTCTATTGAAAAGAATAACAAAACACACTGGGTGAAATCTTGGCCCTGTTGATGTTTTAACGCCAATTTGAATAGGAAAAGGATTTCATTCCCTGATCTTGCTGCACTGGTTTAAACTCTCTGCAAACACGCAGCCTGACCTGGCATACTTGGAAGCTTTAACCTCAACTTAAATGGTGCAGAATTGGAGGCATGTCACGTGCTTATGAAAACGGTAAAACTACATTGGCATGTGCCTGCTAATCTGTGTCTTGCTCTGTAGTAATCTGTTGAAATTAAAGGTGGTATGACAGTAGGATCCCACAGTGACCACTTAATATTCTTCTATAATTAATAACATTAAAAATATTCCGTCTTATGAGGAAAGCTGATTTACTCAACCATTTTCATTAGGCACATGAGAGCATCAACACATGTGGCAATCTTCCGGAGAAAAGCCTCTCTGACATATTTCTTTTTAGGATTCTGGTATGTTGAAGTAACTCCTGTCAATTGCCAAAACATCACAAAGATATGCAAAGCATGACATCATTGTCTGCAGTGGAAAAACCAGATACCTCTGGAACGAATTGGCATCATAGCAATCATGTAGGAACGGAGCAGATTCTGAGTAACACATCGTAGCCTTCCTGTAAGGCTCAACACTTTATTTAAATTGGATGTTAAAATAACGTACTTAAAATTTACTTTGAAGATTGAGAAAGGTTATGGCTCATTCTTCTGCACAAATCTTATGCCTGCTTTCGTATTTTTAAGGCTACTATGAGAAAGGGTTTCAATGACAACCTCGAATGTTCATCAGAAAACACCAGGAGCATGTTGGAAAGGTCAAAGTCTTTTAAATGTTAGAGCAACTTCTGACAGTACAGAAGCAGACTTCTTAGGGACTTTTAGTGTTACAATATCATAGCATTTGTATAAACAATTGTCTGAATGTGGTTGTAAAAGGTTAATAAGTGGCTGAAGTAACATCATCCATGGAAAACAATAAATAACTGATTTGATATCACACAAATAATGCCAGTAGGGCTTTTACAGACAGTATTTGATTTGGGGAGAGAATATATGTCGTTCACAGACCTTTTATAAATAAATGATTATCTGCTGTGTACTGATAGAAAGTACTTTCTGATGGTTCCCAATTAAGAAGTAAAAAGAGCAAATGGGTCTTAAAGGTACTTGTGGACAATGAAATAGTTTTAAACAGGAGGGCACAATATTTTCTGTTTTATTTTTTGAATTTTAGCTTCTCTCAAAGTCAAAAGGCTTGGACTGGAAAAAAATGTTGAGACTCCATGATGTGCAAACCAAACTAGGAGTTAGCCTAGAGGAAATGCTGACCATTGTCGAGGAGGTATTACATCCTGAGCCTTACAGCACAGAGGAAATTTGTAAATGCCTGGGAATTAGCCTGGAGGAGCTCCGCTCTCAGATCCTTAGTCAAAACACGCAAGATGGTAAGCATATATGAAATGGGGTTTAGTGTACAGTGTTTGTATTGTATAAAAAGTTTATGTATTAATAAGTAGTGGAACTGGAAGCCTTGCCAGAATAATTCCCCAGACTCTTGGGTGGCAAGTGAGAGAATTGATATAATTATTTTCATTCTATCTTTTAACTTAAATAGAGCAAAACTTTGATTTTGATTGAACCGTTTCTGAAATGGTGGAAGTAGCAGGTCACTTACTATTTTAGATTAGCCTGTGCTTGTTTAGAGTCATCTCTAAATAACCCAGATTTTATTGTAGTGAAAGGTCTAGCCTAGCCCTCCTTTTTAGGCAATAGCTCTAACAAAACCAAAACATTTTGGACGGTTACAGCATCATTAAAATGAATCCTGTTTGCTCTCTCGTAACTGGTGTTAAAGAGCAGCATAGATGGAGCTTGTGTTTCTGTTTTTGAATTCATAAATACATAGTCACTTCATAAAACATGCACTGGGCAGCAAGTCCTCTGGGTCTCTCCTGAGAAAGAAGTTTCTGTCACTGCCAATATATTTTTTTATTTTAGGAAAATGTTGGTGGAGGTGAACAATTTACTATGTAAAGTATTTCCCATATAATATTGCTAATGTATACCATGTAGTCATGAGCATTGGCAGACACGGAATGGATCCTGGATACATATAGTAGAGTTGCTAATAATACTGAATAATAGAACATTTATGAAATAATTAATTTTCATTTATAACAAGTTTCCAATTGAGATCAGTATCTTTCTTTAAGAATTTAAGATAATCCTTACTTCCTTTTTTCCATTCTGTAGCCTTAATACCTTGACTGTTTTGTAGCTCAATTATATCCTTGCCAGTGCTTCCCAAGACTGCTTTCAGGGACGTATATATTTGGTGTATAAAAATCAGTAACATATCTATGTATACCAGTGCTTATATTTAAATAATCTGTTTATCTGGAATGATTGTAAACTTTATATATTGATCAAGGACCTGAATCTAGAACCTGTTTTGCACCCCAGTGGTATCATGGAGCATGAAACTATCTTACTATCTAATTACACTGCCAGAGGGTACCAGCATGGAATATGATCTCTTAATCCAGCTCCTTATCTCCAAAGAAAGAGTTGTGATAAATCTGTGCTGTATGTACATGACGAATATACTGAACCAGGTACCTGCACTCTGCAACATTCTCATGGGAAACTACAAGGTTGTAAATCTTTTATGCTGTCCCCTTACTCTCCCCTCCATGAAGCAATACAAGACTTTTAACTTACAGATGTTTATACTCCTTATACCTGGTTTATAAAACAAAATTCTAGAGTTCTGTAAAATTGAATTGTTTATACAGGTTATTTTGATTTTTTCCAAAAACCAACGTCTGGATAAGAAATTTAAACATAAGAGCTATAGGAGAAACGCAAAGGAAATTTTATACTGCGGCTCTGAATAGCGTTTGCAGATGTTTGCTGAACAGAATCTCTTAAACTTGCATGACCATGATTTCATTTGATAAGGCCAATTAAAATGGGTTATGCTGAAAGCCCCTTTGCATGTACAATATAAAATTAAATAAGATATTTCTGTAAAAATATGCGCAAAAAAGAAACAAGACAGACACAGAAAGAAAGAATCTAAATCCACTGTTTGGTTTTTTTTTTACACACTAAACAAATTACATTTTATGTTGGCTTTGGCAAACCAGAGGCTGTTTGACAAAAATATTTTTCTTATTTCCCTTCTACTTTCCCGCTATATTTTGATGACAATGCCAGCCTTCTTCATGTGAGAGAAAACTTACTGACAAATAATCGCTGTAGAGAATTTCAGAAAGTTGTTGAACTTCTTTGTTCAACATGAAGAAAGAGCCATAACATTTAGGATATTTTTCTTCCTTTGTATGCGTTTTATCAACTTTTCTGATAAAATAATGTAATGCTAAGGGTAAATTATTTCCATGAGAATTACTATTTAGATCATTTCCTGGATTCTGAGTTTTCTCTGTGGCTGAATATAAATTGTCAGTAGTTTTTATCTTTTGTATTATTAAAGCCTAGTGATAGTTACAAATAATATTTTGCACTGTCATTGCATCTCAGGTTTAAGGACCTGAAAGTGCTATGTAAATATTATTTTAGCCTTTAGTCTATCTTTCCCTCCTCTACTCCTCCAGTGGTAGTACTTATATAAAGTTTTATAAGGCTGACCAGATGAAAACTCCACATCCCAAAGAAAAAGGTATGGACAGGCTTTGGGCAAGTCCCAGGCCGGGTCTGGAAGCACACGGCAACTTTGCATCCCTTTTATAGGCAGGTACTCAAGGACTTCTGCAGTTCCCCACAGGACAGCCCGCTTGTTCCCCAGGTTTGGAGAAGTACAGATGGAACATAAAGCTAGTGTTATTCCTTGGCCAACTCAAAATCCTGAGTTTAAATCCCCATTGCAAATGTTTACACATGGATTGCACTTGTGGCTTCTGAACATCTCTAGAAAAATAATATTTATTACTTCTAAGGTGCACTGTGCCATAATTTTGGCTCAGGCTTGAGTGCTTCACAGAACATTTAGTGTGTGGTGACTGCAGGACATTAAGTATTTATAAGCTTCACCACAAAAGGATATTCTGTAAAACAGTGTATTCCTTTAACCATGAAATGTTTTTTTCCTTCTTAAATGAGGTATTTTAAAACCCATTTTTCCTTTTCACGTATAAAATTGTAATCTAATTTTGACATTTAAACCTGGGAATGAAATGGCCATGGGAGGAGGAGGCATCCATTGGCTGTGTGGATTTGGCTGTTTAACTGCCCTCCTATTTGTCCCCTGGACAGAGAATTCTAAATCTCTGCTGTAGCTCCAGTGAGTGGTGCTTGAATAGCCTTTCATTGCCACTGCCAAGTAATTTGTATTAATAGTGGTCTCAGTGCAAGAACAGTTTCAACTTTATTTGCACAGACAGGCATACGTGAAGGTGGACTCAGATGTTCTGTCAGGCTGCTCTGGGATGCAGAAACCTCGAGTGCCTTTGTCTTACAAGAACAGAAGGGACCTCCAAACTGGTGGACCTAAGAGCACTTCCCAGCTTCAGGAAGGTGCCTCAAAGTCCAGGTGCCTGCTCCAGCCTCAACCTGATCCATGTCATGGAGAAGTTTGGGAATGTACCATCCCCCTCCATAAAAATGTGTTTTACTTGGGATGAGCCCCAGAGAGGTGGCTGCTCCAAGCAGATCCCACACAGCTACCTGGAGGGTACAGGCCTTTGGGGTGTGTGGCAGGTTAGGTACAGACACTGAATGGTTGAGGATAGTTGCAAAAGCCGTGTTAAAGCTAGCGTTCCTCTGGAGGAAAAATCACTTTAAACCAGTAGTTATCGTAATCTCAAAGCAGGTGTCTGCTAAATGGGTCACTGAATCCAGCAATGACTCGTCCCTTGGTTTATCTTCAGAAAGCCAGATTGCAAACAGTTACTTGAGCAGTCCCAGTAGAGTAACTGTTCCCCACTTCGACAGGGGGTTCACAATCTGGCTCAAATTAAAGCCATCTGGCAGCATTTTCTTATATACATTATGAGCCAGAAACCTTCACCCTCATCATGTTCAATCAGCAGGATGCCTAACAGAGAAGGGTACTATTCCACATGAGTAATGGTGGTAGAAACTGTCCCCTACATGATTTTGCATCGGTGAGTTTTTCCTGTTGTAAATTTCTAACAGTCCCATCAGCCATGTGTAGCTCATTAATCTACAGTGAAACACATCCTAAGAAGCTGCCAAAGCAACTAGAAAAAATATATAGCCTGAAGAGGTTAGTCTAGCTAAAGGTCAGATAGAATTGTACAGGAAGCCTCTAAAGAAAGGAATCTGCTGAAGTTGAAGTTGTAACAAATAGTATGAGTTGCTGATAAGCCACAACATTTAACTATATAGGAAAAAAATCCCTGTAAATGGAGTGAACAGGTTTGCACCATTTTTGTAAAGCTAAAATTAAAAATATGACCATACAGTTGAAAACCCACACTAAACCTCTATTTAATTAATCCACAGTTGTTGGGGACTGATAGACCAGGATTTTTGTTTAAGAGATTTCTATGGATTTTGGACAAACTTTCAGTGACGTTAGTCTGCTGTGCCTTAACCACTTGGAAGGTTCTTGTTGCAGTGCAAGCTATCAGTGCACTGGAAAATGTCACCGTTTCTTCCAGTGGCATTTGGTGGTTTATAAGTGAATTGAATCTGCCTGTTCCTGGATGACATTATAGAAATTCTCTGCAGAGGAGCAAAGCTAGAGTGCAGAGAACCCACAAAGGGTCAGCAAGAGTTGCTGATGTTCTCTGAAAAACTGATATGGAGTGGTAATACAAAAAGTTAACAGTGGAGGAGACTCCTTGTAGAAGATTCACTGTGTCTGCTCTGAAACTTCAGAAACACAGTTACTGTGGCTATGACCTGGAAGGTGGATTAGCTGCTCCAGTAGCAGGCTGAGTACAGGTAAAATGGGTTAAAAACTTAGTGACAAAACATCACTAAGAGCAGACCTAGCTACAGGATTCCCTGTCCTCCTTAAAGTTTTCCTTGGTCTCATTTTGACTTTTCAGGTTTACTTTAATTTCTTCTGATCTGTGTCTGTTTCAGTCTGTAAAAGGTATTGCTCGCCCTCACTTGAGTCCACAAGAAAGTTTTTCTGTGTGCAGCCGATATCATACAAAATAAATCACAATCTCCATACAGGCTTTTCAGAAAGGGACAAAAGAGACCCTGAAATTGTGATTGTGAGAGCGTGGCTAGATCTAAAATCACACAGTTCATCCTGCATGGCAGCGAGCTATGCAGAACGTGGCAGAGAGGAAACACAGAGTGATCTTCAAAGAATAGTTTTTGAGAGCATGATTCTGGGCAGGGACTAGATCCTTGGCCAGTACAAATCTCCATCAGTCCGAATGGCGCTGCGTCATTTTAAACAAGCAGAGCACCTGAACTGGATATTGCACAGATCCACTTAGGGAAGAAACATGACTTCAGACACACCTTGGGCCATTGCTCTTAGGTCAGTGTGGCAGCCAGCTGGTTTCATTGCAGCAGAGGTTTTAGGTTCCTTTCTAGTCACCAGATAAAAGGGTACAACGGGGCAATCTGGGTCTCAGGTGGGATAACTGGTTCCTGAACCTGCCCTTTTCACTGACAGAAAATGGAGCCAAGGGTACCTATACCCCTAACTTGGAAATAAAGTGGGAGAAACCAGGCCTTTATAGTTCACTGGATTAGGGAAGTATATTTACGTTTTCAGTCAGATTAAGTACCTAATTTCCATACACTACAATAGATTTAAGGATCCATGTGCTTTTAAGAATCTGGCATTAGTTCTCTAAACCCCACTTTTTTGCTCTCCTTTGAGCATCACAGAGGGTGGGACCATATAACCCAGAACTGTGCAACAGTCGAAGGTTTATTTTGAGGGCTTCAGTTTTCCCGCTTTCAGAGCACTCCAGCCCTAGCTCAGATATAAACTAATCAGTCGTGCACACTTTGGTTTTGTTTCATTTAACCATGGCAGAGTATGGTTTAGGAAATCAGTCCTTTTGTAATTGTAGAAAATGTGGCTGCATGAAGCACGCAGATTGGGATCAGTTCCTGCACTCTTCTAAAATCACAGCCTCCATAGCTCTTCAGCATGTTTTATTAATTCAGATTTTATTTCTGTGGAGCTAATATACAGGCTGTGATATAGCAGGGAGATTCCAATATAGATGTAATTTTTGGAAATATCATGTGTGCTCTGCTATCTTTTATTATATGGAGATGCTGAGTTGGACTAGCCATCCAAACAGAAGAGGTGCGAGAGGGTTTCTGTATTACCAGAGGCATTTGGTGTTGAAAGCCAAAAATATGTGAATTGTTTCATTATTTTGGAATAGGACTTCCAGAGTTCAGAGGTGTTTGCTGTCCTGAAGATATTTTTAGCTGAACAACACACTGCCAGAGAGGAAAGGCAAACTATAAAATAATTTTTTCTAAACACAAATGTAATTTGCTGAAATAAAATGCTGCCCATAACCAAGCAGCAGCTAACATAATGATACCAGCCTTTAACTGATAAAATTTGTTAAGTGTCTACAAAGGAGTCTGAAAATAACACACAGGCTCTTTCTCACTTGAGACCTGCCCGAAAGGATTGCTTTCGCATCGAGAGAAAGCCAGTGTCAAGGTAGCAAATTCTCCCCTATGCAGGGTGGCTCTCCTGGGGGCGAATGCTGTCTAAGACACAGCTCAGATCTCCTGGCTGGCAGCCAGTAGCCAGAGCACCCATTCTGGTTGCCAATTCATAACATGATGAGCACAACACAACCCCAGAGATTTTTAAGGTAATCTGGCCAGTAGAACATTGCTCTACCAAAGGGTGGTCTCTGAATCAATCACAGCCTTTGGCAAGCCAGTTCCCTTACAATTGAAACCAGACATGTTTTCAGTTCATTCTTTGGGTTACTACTGTTCAATGGTGATTTACAAGAGAGTGTGAGCTATGGCAATCTCTCACGCAACTTTAGATATTCCCTAAACGAATGCACATTTAGAAATCTCCTTGCTCTAAAACAATGGCTTATAAGAAAAAGAATATTTAAAGAGAAACCATCCTCAAAAACAGGCCAAGCTGCCTTTCTTCAACATTCGAAAATACCAACGCTTTGCTCTGCAAAACATGGTGCAACTAACTCCAACAAAATCCAGTGGGGTAGAACACACCTCTAAATGGGAAACCAAAATGTGCTCTTCCTGTGATACTCTCAAGATGATGCTTCTGGGGGGCACTCAATTTTCTCATTTCTGTCCTAGTTTGAAATGCATTCAGAAGGTCTGTTCAAAAGGCAGCATCACAGGGCTTCTCAGTAGCAGGCTGTATTGAATTACAAAATAACTGTCACCAGAAGCGATATCACCAGTAGCAGAACACTGCTGTGTTCAGTGTTTCTCTATCATTTTAGACTACTCATGTCTCTCTCTCAGCACTGTATTTGCAGCACTTACAGTTGTGATTTACATTTTGAAAAAATAAAAAAGGATTATACAGGTGCTGATGAAGTTTTAGTCTGTAAGGGTTGAAATCTGGAGTATACGTATGAGACTTAATACTGGAGACAATTTCATTTCCAGTCTTTCAAGGAAGATTTCTGCATATACTTGCAAATGTAGATTGATGAAATAATCAGAAGTGGTTCCAGAACTTGGCTGTCAGGTAGGAACTCCGTGTGTCTGGGTCAGACAGTGAGTTTTGTTCTGAATACAGGGCTTGTCTCTCTTCTCCATTTACCTCTATTTGAGTTACCTCATCAGTCATTTTAGAAACCAAGAGAGACAGAAGCAGAAATAAGAGAGACCTTACTCTAAAGGAGAATTTACATGTAGAAAGAAAATGAAGGGTGTTCTGAGGTGCTCTAACAAGAGAGTGCTTGAGTTGTGATAAAATAAGGAAACATACTGCAGTAGGTGCTCCATGCAGAGAATATCTAGTATTTACCACCCAAACAGCTCAAGTAAACAAATTTAATAATAACTTAAACTATGTCATGCATGCTTCTGGAGAACAATACTCCCTCCATAGCAGCCATGCTATTAAAGCAAACAGAACTATATTGGGAGAGAAAAACAATGAATTACAACATGAGCTTGGGAAAGGCAGATCAATTCTCAGATACTAGTTGCAAGCTGAACCCTCCTGTAAATAGGTGTCGGTTGAGGAGCCCTTAACCACAGCCATCCCTTTCCTTTTATGCCCCCTCTTCAGGCTTGGTGGAGTTCTCTACCCCAATGGCCACGCAGGTTTGGGCACCCTGCCTGCCCTTCCCAGAGGAACTGCTTTTTTCATAGTACAATAGAAAAAATTTAGCCAAAATCCTTGCACTAGCCTTTGATCTTAGTAGGTCAATACTAAGCAGTACCTGTCAGGGCTTGACATCTCTTCACATCCACACAGGCAGCACTGACACTCTGGCTGGTAACACACACCAAAAATAAACCCTGAAAGCCAAACTGAAAGCACCTGTGCTCTTTACTGTACCTTTAATCTAGTGTTATTTACAGTCAGGGTGAGCTGTGAAAATCTTTGAGAGGCCTTCCTTAACTATGCACCAGGAAATATGGATAACAGCATTTGTGTTAATCTCAGTTTCAAAAAAAAATAAAAATTGGTCAGTTTTTTTTTTGGTTGGGTGGTTGTTTTTTTCAAGAAAAGGTCCATCCGCACAGTTACATAATTGTTGATAATTGATTTGGCCTGGAGCAGTCACACAGAACACCCTGGGCCAGCAGGTGCTGGCTGACAGCTGCCTGCAGAGCACTGGGTACCTTTCTGGTGTTCTCATGACTCAGTTTTGCTGGTATTTGAAAACCTGAAAACTTTAGATTAATGTCCTAATGCATGTCGCTGCTAACTCTCGAAGTTGCGGTTTGCCTCTGCAAAGTAAAAGGAGAGACTGGGGCTGTTCAGTGACACAGCAAAGAACCAGAGCATGTGCATGAAGTTATCAATGTGACAAAAAATGTGTACGTTGTATTTTGATGAGCTCTGAATACCCTTTTATTAGGGCTTTTAAAGAAGATGTAGTTGAGCTTTTGCAGAAGACTTTTAGCCTAGAGAGTTCTAATATAAAATGAGTTACTAAAAACAATATAATTCTACTGTGTTTATGTGTGTTCCTTTTGTAGGGAATATTAATGGATAACTGTAGTACTTAATATTTTCATTTTGTTTAGTTTCCACCTTTAAGTTATACCAGCGTGCAAAGCATGTGTATAGTGAAGCTGCCAGAGTGCTGGAATTTCAGAAGGTATGCAACGAAGCACCTGCCAACACAATCCAGCTGCTGGGAGAATTAATGAACCAGAGCTATATCAGCTGCAGGGAAATGTATGAGTGCAGCTGTCCAGAACTGGATCGGCTGGTAGACATCTGCCTGTAAGTTTTGACCACAAGGAAGAGTAAGCGCCTGTTGAGAATATTGTTTGAATTGATGAGAAAATATGACATCGTTGGCTATTGCAATCTCAAAATGAAAGTATTCTTGTCTCTTATTACAAAATTAATCTCCTGCAGGGACATTACATGGTCAATTGTTTCCCTACTGACATCTGTGTAATACTTTCAGATGAAAGCTGCAGTTTATGGCTTTATTACAGACTTTGCTTTTGGACTGACTCATCATCACAAGTGTTAGGTTAGACTGCTGGCTATTCTTTTTTTAAGTTGTAGAAGAAGTCATAACTGGTTTTCTTAAAACATCATCTTAGTTGTTCTATTTGAACTCTATTACTTTTTGTGTATTTCTTAACCATTTCAGATCTGCTGCCATAGGAATTCCAGGGCATAAGCAAGCTGTTCTACGTTCTTAGGTTACCTTGAAATCATAATGGTATATTTTGAAGTGCTATTGCATATTTTTCAATTTAAAAAATATTTTGTAGGGTATCAGATAGGTTGGACAGCATTTCACTGTTTAAAAGATGAGTGTGTTAACTGTTACAACAGCTAACGTTCTGCTTCTCCTCTCTCCATGGTGTGTTTGAGCTCTCCCCACGTTATTCACTCTCCATCTCTGTTCCAGCCTCATTCTTTTAGCTGGGTTCCCTCAACTCTCCACTCCAGAACACATCCCCTGAGTGTCATTTTCTCCCTTCTCTTCTCCCTCTATTCCTCCCCAGTTTCACATCCTCTAGCCAGAATAAAGAGTTTGAGAAATGGCATGAAGGGAGCTGGAAATCACAGATTGTTGTGTGTAGCAGGCTGCTATTCCTGTAACTCTTACAGTGGTGGATGAGATCAGGGATAACCGTGTGTTAATATGGAAAGTAAAAACAAATACTCTGCTCACATTCCTCCTAGTGTTTCATCCATGCCACAGGACCAGCATGAAAGGATGTACACATTTCAGTCCCTCTTAATTTCAATTTTTCTGGTACATTTAATCATGGGACAGACATCTAATGCTAACTTTGATGTAAATTCAGTGCCTGTAGAAGGAATTCAGTGGCCGGTGATCATCTGGGGTCGGCTTGGGGGAGCAAACAGCTGCGCGCCTGAGCTTCCCCCCCCTACTCCCTCCTTGCCTCTGCCCCAGCCACCTTCTGCCAGCTGCTTCCCTCATTCACTTCATTGTGGCCCCTGATGGTGCCACCTTCCTACTTCTGTTCCCTGCTTCTCCTTGGAGAAGGGTGTGCTTAGTTCAGGAAACTCTGCCCTACGCCGGAGCGTTATTGCCCTGCCATAAGGGAAGTGTAGGGTGCCATAAGTGTTTGTAGGCCTGAGGTCAAGAAATGTTGTTTCACTGTCTTTTAGAAGTAAAAACTCTATAAAAGTGTACCATGCTCAGTTTCTGTTTTCTTCAAGACTGAAATAGTTTCAATTTGACACAAAAAAAAAAAAAAAAAAAAAAAAAGACGACCTTACCACCTAAAAATGAAAGTTCCATTAGTATTTCTATACCAGCAACTGGCTTTTTTTTTTTTTTAAGAACTAAGAAATTGGTCTGGCTTCTAATGAAAATATGAATTTTACAAACATGCAATTTGCCATATGCTTTCTTACTCATGTGGATTTTGTAAGTTGTAATGCCCATTTACCAGGTTTGAAAATTGATAGAGTATGATACAGATGATTATTTAGGTTAGTCTGATTTCTTTTGCAGACAAGATGGAATGGCCTCTGAGCCAGAAAACTACAAATTTAAAAACAGAACAGAAGACTTTTGGGCATTCACAGAGTATTTTGCATATGGGATACACATGCTGTTTTGTGATAAAACACAGAGAAGCCCTGATAGCCATTGGACCGTCTGATAGTAATTTAGCAATACAATTTGTGTTCCTTCTCTTGGGAGCCAATCCAGTGCGGAGCTCACAGGCTGTGTTCAGTTTATTGTATCACGTAATGATCACATAATAGAATAAGCTACGACAGTCACTCAGCAGGGCAATTCCACCATGGTTACCCCAGCTACGCAACGGGAACTGCTGATCTGCCTGTAAGAAGGGAGAACAGTCTCCAGAGTCAGCTGAAGACAGAAACTGTGCTCTATGGAATCATCAGAAGTCTTGGGCTACAAAATCTTGATCCAGTGCAAGGTACCAGCACTGCCTGTTCTGTGACACCACTGACAGAGGAAAAGCCTGAAAACTCAACATCTGCATTGTTTTTAGGTACAGTAACTACGCAGTGTTGATGCCTCGGTCAATAGCATCTGCCAGCTGAACTTTGCCAAAGCAACTGGCCATTTTAAGTGTCTTCACTCAGGGTACCCAGCTTGAATCATACTGGTAGGGCCTGTTCTGAGAAATGCTGGGAGAAAACTGTCCTGTTGCAGGTAGGGGAAAGCAAGTAGGGGTAAACTGATCAGAGCTGCACTACAGTGTACCTGTGCTACATTTAAAGAAGTGAGCATGGATGCTAGCCACAGTCTGTTGCAGCATGGAGCTCAGCATGGGGATGGAAATTCTGTTTCTCATTTATGCTGAGCTCTGTGCTTTCACAGCTAGACAGCCGCTGCCCTGAGCTCGCCTGGGTATCGTGAGGCTGACTTGCAGGCAGTAGCACAGACACAGCCACAGAACCCAAAGGAAAGGAGTATGCAGTTAGCATTTTACCAAATTAAATTAAAAATAATCAGAGCATTTCAGTTCCAGAGACCAAAAATATAAATAGTGAAGGAAAAAAGTGATATGCGTGTGCCCATGTTACATCAGATTTCTAACTTACCAGCAGAAGAGCCCACAGCTAGTGTGATGAGCATAGCTAAGCACCACAGTGGACTGTCATTCGTGTGAAACAGTTTCTGATTGGTATATTAAAATTATTTGGTTTCTATTACATTCATTGCACAGAAACAAGTAAATTATTTGTTCATTGTTCTTTACAGTCTTTTCCCATCAAGAGTATTTCCTAAGAAATGTATCTTTCTTCTGAAGAAGTTTGATATTCTTTCATGTTTTTCTGATTCTGTGATTAGATTTCTTAAAGTGTGTAGCTATTCTAGATGAATGCAGCTTAAACCAGCATCTGATTTTTTGAAACTCTTGGAAAAAAGTCTTAATTTTTCTCAAGTTGTACATTAAAAAACTAAAGGACATAAGATCACTAGTCACTCTAGGAAAACTTGGCAGATGTGATTATAGAAATGGCCAGGAACTACACAAATTACATTCTTTACTTACAGCAATATACAGCTGCCCTGTAACTTTAAAAACCCTTTCCAAAAACACATTCCATAGAATTGCCCGAGTCTACTGCTGCTCTCTCCTTACAAGGTTTAAACTGTGAAGAAAATCTGCATATCCAGATGTTTTCTGTTTTGTCTAGATCTTTATGTTTTACTGTACAACCTCTGCCAAGAAAGAAAGAGATCCATACTTGCTGTGGTTTGTAGTGCTGAAAACTGTAACCACTAGTTGGTCAGTTTTTTTTTTTTTTTTTTTTTGCAAAGACAGAAGACTTGTACTTTCTCTGACCTATCTCATGCTGTTAATAGCTGTTTTACCTGTTAGTCTTTTAAAGTAAGTAACACAGAAGATTCACTAAACAAGGAAAAAAAAGATTGTATCTGAGCTCCTAAATTTATTAGGTACTTTAAAAAATCTCTCAGAATCCTCAAGTGTTGCAAATAACTTGCTTTCATTCCCTTATTCTCCATCTTTTGGCGTTATAAATCCTGATAACTTTTGTGTTACCAGCCACGCCCCTTACAGTTGAAAATATCTGAGTAATCTCTGATCACTTTTAAAAGATGCAGTTTTTACCTTACACCCAGGTGCATTATGGTCACCAAGACAACTCTGCATTTTATCAAGACTCTTACCACTGATGTGTTTTTTTTAAAGCTGCAAAGCCTGGAGTCATGGCACAATTTGAAAACTCAACAAAACAACAAAAAAACCCCACCCTACAAAAAGAAGCTTGCAGCTCTTTCTGAGCCAGAAAGCCTTAAAGATGCTATTCAAATGCATGCTAAGCTACAAACCAGAATAAGTGTAATAGCCCCCTTTATATATTTCAGTCTCTTCATGTTAACTCCATGCTTCCTGAACAGCTGGTTCATAATTTTGAGTATTTGGAATTAACAATATTTCTCTGTTTTTTTTGCCTCTTCCAACAAAATTATTTTTAGAATGAGGTACTGCGATGTCTTGCCTATCACTTCCATATACCAAACAATGGGACTTCCATTTTTATTCTTCTTAACACTGCTGCAGTACTGATATTTGTACTCTCATTTACATGCACACCCTTCCTCATGAGATAATTCTCTTTTTTTCCAGTGAATACTGGAACAAGATATATAAAACTTCAAAAAGCAAAAGCCAGAACCCAGACCTGGGAGCTGAGTGCCCCCAACACTGGACTACAGAGACGTTATCTTTCTTGTGTGCTCCATTGGTCCTTCTCTGCTTTCTGTTACTCGTCCTCACGGCCGCAGCATAGCCCAGGCGGTGCACGGGGCACTTTCCCACATGCTAAATCCACATCACCCACTATGTGGGTGACTGCTTCATCCACAAGATTATTGTCTGCTCATGCTCCTCCTCGTAAATAGATGATTGAGATGTCAGGGCACAAGAAGAGAGCGTCTGGCTCGGAATCCACGTTACCAGAGGAGTCTAGCTTAGGACTGAACTGATTAAGACTCGAAAAAGACAATTTCAGACCTGTTCCAAAGTTAATGTTCCCATGTTTGATCTAGGTACCTCCTAATGCAGCGCATCTCCAGTAGATGCAGAATTAGGTGCTCACTTCTGAATTCTTGTCATTTCAGGTACCTCGTTTTCAGGTGCTACAGCACTGCCCATCGAAATGACAAGTTCCTTAGCATTAAGCCCCAAGAGTCTCATCGTATCACCACATTTGAAACTGTTAGCCACAATATTTTGAAACACAGTGACTTCAGCTCTGGAACAGGCATTTCTGTCTACATTATGCTTTATTTCAACTAAGTATTTTAAAATGACTCAGTAAAAATGAGGCATGACCATGACCACAGAGAATTATGAAATCAATAAAAGGTTCAGAAAAATTCTGAAGGGATTTCAGTGACCTACCAAAATAAAAGCCAGACACCATCTGAAATACGAAGTTCTAACTGAGGTGACAGACCAAATGAGTACAGACAGTGAGCAGACTCTGAAAAGTGGATTTGGGCCTTATGAAGGCGATGGGAATTTCCCTATTGACTGCAGTTGAGACTGGATTGGATCCTGCTCCTTTTAGGAGTTTGCTCCATGGACCAGAAACTACAGAAGTTGCATCAGAGAATAATTGGCTTACAGGAATTATAATAAGTAAAATAAAACTCTAACAGGAAATAAAGGATGAACATCAAATCGAGTCAATATGAAGGGTGGCACCACACAGACACACTGAAGAAAGTGTTTCTGTTCACGAAGAGCTGTAAGCATGTTTAGAATCAAACACATATGTAAGCACTTGCTTGAAATATGACCTAAACCCCTACTAACCCAGCAGTATACCAGATTCATTTAACGTAAAATGCACACATGAAAAATTATCACAGCCTACTCTGAATGAGCTGTCATTTTCCACTGTTATTCATGTGATGCTGTCTCTCCCTCAAATACATTCTAGGACGGGTAAATGCCTCCGTGCATGGGTATTGGAAACGTATCAAAAGTATTTGTTTGCAAATCAGATTAGATTTCTCATGAGAATAAGATTTCAAATGAGTTTTACAAATCATCCCGTTCTGATTAGGCTAGAAAAGCCCCAAAGAAATTTATTACACGGTATTTTCCTACTTTTTCTGAATCTAAGTAAAGATCAGGAACACAGGTAAGCAAGCTAAAGAAAATAATTCTACTAAATTCTAATTAGATGGTGTCTGAATCTTGCAGAGTAATGGAGTGGGATTTGCTGTAGGACATTCCTAGCAGGCCAGTATCTTGAGGCTGGGAATGGTTTATATTTTGGATGTCATTTATTTGTCATTGTTCTTTCTATTCACTCTCCTTGTTAAGAGCATTTTTTTCTTTTGGCACTAAATTCTTATTTTACCTCTACTGCTGTAAATCTGTTAAGTTCATGAGGTTCCTCTAAAAAGAGGTACACAACTCTGTCCGTTCAGCATAAACAGATGTTTGAGTGCAGTAACTCGATGACTTTTAAGAGTTTCTGAACTCTCCTTTTCTTGCCTGGCATGCCCAGCAGTCCTGCAGAAGCCTGTGAATCTTCAGCATGTTTTAGATCTGTCCTGGAAGAATAGAGCTATTTGTCTTTGCCACATTAGAAAATGGCTTGCATGCCTACATCCTGTGCAATTAGTCTATTAGTTTAGTCTTTTGTTATTTTTGTCATGTATTTCTGTTTTCACTTCTGCTGTCTTACGAATGTTGCTAACACAATACCTTTCTTTCTTCATCTCAGCTGTGCTGTGATCCTTAAAACAGCTGATGCTGAAGCATTATGAGAGGTTGACTTTTGGAATTGACAGAAATTACTATATTGCAGTTTAAAGCATCAACTTTTTTTTTTTTTGTTCAAAACAGTAACTGCAGATTGCTGTGATGTCACATACAACCAAGTGAACTTCATAAAATTCAGATTACATTGATATATTTTGAATAAATTATTCACTAGTTTTCTATAGGAATTTTAGATAAGACAAATTACCCCCTTTTGGTTTATTTTACATGTTTTTTTTTTCTTCTCTTATTTTGTTTTAGGCAATTTGGGGCCATTGGGTCACGTCTGACTGGAGCTGGATGGGGTGGCTGCACTGTGTCAATGGTGCCTACTGACAAGCTGAACACTTTTCTTAAAAATGTAAAAAAAGCTTATTACCAAACCGATGTCCAAAGGTTAGCGCTGGAGAATAATAGTCTGTTTGCTACCAAACCTGGAAGAGGAGCTTTGGTTTTTGTTGAGGCCTAAAGAACGTAAAAATGTTAAAGAAACTATGTAGGGCATTTAGAACTGGCAGTACTTCCCATGCCACAGTAAATGAATGCCTTTTCTGTTTTTTATTGTAATGAGCAGTTACTATTATCAAAATACATTTCTGAAGAAGCAATTAAAAGAAAACTCTTTGATTATAAAGTCTTTTTTTCCCCATACTAAAACCATCTTTTAGTAAAAACATTGATTTACAAGGAAAACTGAAATTGAAATAAAGATGATACTTCGTTACAGGGGATCTCTCTTCTTTTCCCTTTACACTCATAAAAGTAAGACCAGGTGGAGCAGTGAGCTATTTCACTGTAGGGTAGGAACCTTGCAATGCTCGTAGGGCTGTTCAGTGCTTATTCTCTGCGGGTGCTGGATATTCTTTTGTTTAGAGAGTCCTGTAAAAATGGAGGATTAAACTGAAGCATTCAAAAAATTGGAAGTGCCTTGCTAAACATTGGAAGTTTTATACTCTCCTCAAACAGGATTGTTAGTGTTGTAATTAATGATAATATTGGAGGAGCATCTGTAGGCCAAGTAAAACACTATGTTAAGCAGGAGAACTTTCCCTCTAGCTCTGTTACATATCTTTGTGCAAGAGTGACTTGTTATGAAAGTTCCAACAAAAACGAATGCCATCAGTGAGCTGTACAATATGACAACATACTCCCCTAAGTGAATGAACAAATAACGAAGCAAAGTTTGGGTTTGCATTATCTAAACACCGTATTCTAACTGGTGAATCCTAGCTGTGCATTTTGCATTTTTATGCAAAACTATTACAAAGGATTAAATATAATCCATTGAACATGTAGAAAAACAATTAAAATCTATAAGGAATAATTAAGGAGATCATTCGCTCAGTTGTACTAACCAAAAGTAAATAGGTAAGGCCAAGAGTAAATGTCATTGACCCATTACTGACCAGCTCCTATCTCACTCCTGCTTTATCCTCCTGACAATCTCAAGGTTGTAACTGCAGTGCACTGGAAGTACAGCATCCACAGTTCATAACCCATCTCCTCAGCAGGAGAAAAGACTGTGATTGCAGAAGGGTGACTGTACATCGGAGATGTCCTAACCCTGCTTCCAAATGGAAAATCGGGTTCCTATGCCCTCTCTCTCACAGCACACAACACACTTCTCAAAACTCTGCCATGAAAACTCCGGAGAAGTTTTGCTAGTGCTGTGACCATTGCAGCCATAAAAGACACAGCAAGATTTGTCCCTGTGCACATTTCTGTGATGCTAAGCACAAGTTAACGGCCAGAAGTCTGCATCAAATTAGAGATCTCTCAGATGAGATCCTCTGTATGTTACCCATGCTAATTCAGGCCAAAACTAAATTCTTACAGGCTACTAATTCTGTGAGAGGACTCTGCCAAATTTGAACACAGGAGATGAACAACAGCCAGTACAAACTGCCAGATCTTTTCAGGAACCTCAGAGGGGACGTATAATGGTGATGCTATTGCTGGAGAAGATTCCTGTGTGCTCACAACCAGGAAAAGGGGAACAGAGAGTGCTGTAGATCAAGCAAATCAAGCACTTGAGAGAGGAAAAGGATAGGGTCTGGGGATGATGGGGAGAGATGAAAAGATAGGATTTGGAGGGATGCATTTGAGAAGGGGAAAAGCAAGGGCATAAGGAAGATGGTTAAGAACGAGGCAGAATTATAGAAAGGTTTAATCTCAAAACATTCACTGTTACTATCTGTGGAAATGGAATATCTTGTAACTCATTTCTAACGTACAGCAGGTATGCTGGACATGCAGCTAAACCTGTAAGCGTAGGACTCAAAAAATCAAACAACAGTAGGTAAATATCTTCAAGAATCTTCAAGATAACCTTAGAGATTTTAAAGAAAAAAATGCTATGGCTTTGTTACCAACTGCCTTCTTAGATACAATCCTCAGTTTAATTCAGTGAGTTCCTGTTCATTATCCTATCATGAAAACAGAGTACACCACCGTTCATACCAATCCTTTCATTGATACATTTGCATTGAAGTTTAGTTCAGCTGGATTCATGGAAGCACCAATCGGTGTATGAGCAAAATAAAGATATATTTGGGGGTTTGGTTTTTTTTTCTTCTTCTTCTTCTTTTGAGTTGAGCATGACACACAAAGTAATGGAATCTTCCCAAAAGCATGCAGGCAAGTTTTTGGGCTGCAATACATTTCAAAATTTTTCTGTCAATGAATCTTATAAATTATATTCTCATAAACAAAGAAAAGGAAAACAGAAAACTGGCACACTATAAAAGAATAAAACTGAATGTTTTAAACTTCTGATTAATTTCTTTCCTTTCCTTTTTTATTGCTTCAATATCTTTCCCATACTTTTGGTGAAATTTCCTAATAAAATTGTGCATAACTTTCAGTGCAACACCGGCAGTATTTGTACTACATAAAAATGGCACTCAGGCATTTTTATTTACTTACTACCAATGGAAAGTAAATGTTTCTTTTTAAACAAAAAAAACCTGAACAAATATGTGTTGGGGTTTTTTTCATTTGCTTTTTAAACCTTTGAAGACATTTTTCTACATAATGGTAAAAAACCCCAATAATCAGAGCATGAGACTGATACACCAACAACGTGTAAGGTAAGCAGCAGAGATAGTAGTAGTGTTTCTAACAATAAGGCAAGAAAATTTTGGTTTGGATGAAAATTTCCATGTATAAAACAGCAACTCCTAAGCATATTTTCTAGGTGAGTCTTTCCAGATCTGTATTTTTAATACCTTTTTCTGACTGCATTTTCAAAATCTATTCTGTAGCTAAAATAATGCTGATCAGTCTATATATATGTGTGTGTGTATGTCTATATATATTTGGAAAACTAATAAAATTAAATGTCAGAATATATGCAGAGGTGATGCATCCCCTTAGCAAGAGCTATGATTATCATCGGAATGTGATTTTATCTTATTATAATGTCAGACTGTAATTCATTCAATCATGAGTTTAATCTTACTGTGCAGTAAATGGGCTCTAAACCTTTCCAAAAAGGATTTGGAATGGAGATGCTGTTAGACATCCAAGTGCTGCAGCATCGCCTGGTGCCATATTAATGCTCTGTATTATTTTAATCCCATTGACACATACGTCTTCATCACTGTATCTGCTGACTGGGTATCTTGTACGGAGGAACATGGTCGTGCTCCAAAATAGAATGAGAGTAATTTTACCATTCACTTGATGGGAAGGGCTCATGCCTGTGTAATTGACATCTGCTCTCTTGGACACAGCACACACACACAGACAGACATGTATATGGCAACCTAATATACAGCAATTACTTACATAACGTTTTCAGGAATATGGGTTTCTAGTTAATATGATCTGAATGCCAACTTTTATTTTAGTAACTGCTGGGTACTTACTCAGTATAATCCTTCTGAAATTCCTCTCTGAGTCCATGTGTCTCTTTTGTAACATCTTGATATGTTGGAGCAACTGCTGCGCTACAGTTTCAGTCAAGTGAAAGATTTGTATTTTCAGCTAACTGTGAAGTTTATTTGTGTGCTAAATCCCAATCAGATACACTTAAAAGATACACCCAGAGCGATGTTCACAAGAGCTATCTTGTTCTTAAAAAAAAAGAGACCTTGCAAATGATAGCTGGATGGGCAGCACTGACGTAGTGCTGATGCTTGTCATTATGGGCTTCATCAAGAAGAACGAACTCTAAAAAAGGACTTACACTGCAAAGTAACAAGAGCATGAAAACCAGACTGGTGAGGCTTAACGTCAGAAAGCCTGTGAGTCATGCAGCGTATCAGGTTATATTTTAAATGCTAATTTTGAGACGGAAGGCTAGGTATTGATAAGAAACCAGTTCCCAATACAGAGAGGAGTACCATGGGGAATGTGGAACTGTAAGTGGCAGCTGCTCCCTGTGACACAGCCTTGTTTGACAGATTTTTCCCAGTGCACACAGCATTGGCAGAAAAAGCGCTGCCAGGCAATATTGCTGACACATCTGCCCTACCCCAGCTCTTCTAGTTTAGCCAGCTTTGTCATTGAACGCTCTTCTGAGATTCAGTATCCCATAAAATAGAGACAAAAGATTAATTCCATTCCTGATCTCTCTTGTACTCTGCCCTCTGCTTTTGGACTCGTGTGAAAAGTAATTAACTACGGGATTCTGCAAGATACCACATCTCAGCCTCTGATAACAGCACTGTGTTTTCAAGGAGACACAACCTGCCACGGTGCCGGTGGTGGATATTCCCTGACCTCCTCTGCAATCTCTCGTACTTCACTAGGACCGCACTATGTGCTCTGACTACGGCAGCAGCACCAAGCTGTGATTGATACATTGGGAGCTGCTGGTTTCCAGGCAGACTTTTTCCCCCCCTCAGGTCAGCTCCAATTGTTTTACCAGTAAAACCTGTAGATGAATGTTTTCTGATGACTCTGCAGAGCTGGTCACTGAGCTCAGGAGAACGTGGACTTACCCCAGCCCATACTCCCCAGCAAACGGGTCACTCAGTAGAACAGCGTGTAGTGAGAGCTCACACATAAAACTGACGTGCCCAAAATGTCCCATGTAGTTAAGGCACTCATGACAAATTAATCAGATGTGTGAGAGTTACTAATGGGAAACCTGCAAAGGAATAAAACATGTTGAAGCTAATCAGGTGAGAAGATCCTAAGGAGCTTTCAGAACTAATTGACCACTAAAACGTTGGAGATTGATTTCCAGCAGCAGTGGTTCCTGCAGAAGCAAGAAACTGGATGAGGATTTATACAAATGCATTTGGTATATCTATTGGATTTTAAGTCTAATGCATTTAGAGAATTACTATTGTCTCCTAAGCACTTCTTTGTTGGCCAAAATTACACACTAATATTAAAAGGATTAAAAAAAACCTCCCTCTCCCTGTGCAAGCATGCCTTTCTGCACTTGGCACAGGAGGCTCAAATAACTCAATAAAGATTAGATGTACTTCGAACTGAAACACGCTAGTGCCCAAGCAGCTGTCTTCTTTCCAACCAAGCTGTGTGTGATTTGGGGTGTGAATAAAAATATGTTCTATGAGCCAATGATCAAGCCAGATGTGTGGGGTTTGTGTTGGTTTTGTGGGATTTTTTTCTTTTTTTTTTTTTAATCCCAATTAATTTTTCAAGGGACACTGAAGCAGGTTTATATGAAACTCTTGCGGCAGTTCCTGAGGATTACTATTAAAGGCCTTATTTTTTGCCAGATTTCATGTAACGGAGGAAGGTTTATTC